TGTTCGTACCAGCTGAAAAGCATTAGTGCGCAAGTCTAGAACACACGACGATAACTGAATTATGATATTATATTGCTGAATGTCAAATTCACATTAAAAGATACATTGTATTTGTCATGCAGCACAGATAAAATATCAGGATTATGATAGCATAATCTAATCACAGCCCTTACTTCGTGTATGACTGATAAGAGAATTGCCTGGTTTCGCCCTTCTCAATGCCTTTAAATGTAACAATATAAGCATTGCTGTTATGTTATATCCGGACATTAAAACTTTACACCAGGGATTCCAGTCCTTATGTAAGTGAATGAGTCATTGGGAATGTAATATGCTGATGAGGTCTCTGGAAGTGAATTACACTGTGCAAATATTCACTATTGTTTTACTCCAGATGACCTGCACCAGAGACTTGACTAGTCACGTGAACCCAACTCTGTGATGACCTTGTCTCTGAGGACACGAAGATGTGAGAACTGAACTGTATTTAACAAACATACAGCACACTGGCAAACAGAATTATACAACACACCTAAAGACTGTGTGCCAGGACTCATTATCCCACAAAGTACTTAGGACAACAGAATCCAGCGATAAAGCTTAAAAGGGCACTGTAGGTACCATAACCACTGCATACCATTGTAATGATGATGGTGTTTTAAGCAAGCATCTATATCCATATTTTTGGCAATCCTTTTTGGAGTGGTTTGCCAACAATATGTCCTTTCCCTGGCACTGATAGTCACCCCCGCTTCCTCCCCAATGATAACGCAGAAATTTAAACAGAATTGGTTAGCACAGCTTCAAAACAGTTTGACAATACAAAAAAAATATAGGCTTATAGTAATAAACTTATAGTGCCAGAACCATTATAATCAGGGAGATTTTTATTGCTGCCGGAGACTTGGGTAGATCTCTGGTAGGTTTCTGGGGTCCTTCCTAAAAGGGACCCTATTGGCACCCAGAGCACTTCAGCTCGTTGACGTGGCCTGGGCGCAGTGCCCCTGTCAGTTTAACCCTGCAATGGTAATTATTGCAGTTTTTAATTAACTGCAATAATTATATTGCAAGGTTAACGCCACCTCTAGTGACTGTCTTCCAGACAGCCACAGGGGGTGCTTCCGGGTCGTTAGGTGAGTTTTGGTCGCCTAACTGATGCTGGACATCCTCACGTTATGCATGAAGTCATCCAGCGTCAATCAAAACCACATGGGAAAGCATTGATTCAATGCTTTCCTACGTGGTTGTCCTAATTGATTGCGGCGATGGCCACGCATGCGCATTAGGTCACTGATGTCACTTTAATTTTCAGACATGTAAAACTTGCACTCTGGACAGCTGTCCTCTTTTACCTAGTCTTAAAGAAAGATTTCACTACAATGACCTGTATGGGCTTTAATGCTTAAAGCTCCTTTAATATTTTTAAAGTGACTTTGTCATGGCCATTAACCTGACAGTTAGGGAGGCTGATGAGACATTCTTACAAAATGGGATGATAGAGATAATTAGGCACATTGAGGGCAAAAAAAGAGACAGGTGCCATTTATGTTGAAATGCTGTCAAACTACTTATTAGAGAACACAGCAAACACAGGAATAGCGCAAACAAGTGACACACGAGTCTGCTCGGAACTTGCTAATGCTTAGTTACATAATAATATATAAAGTATTCAATAGCTTAAACAGTCAGACATAGATGGAAATGATTGATTTTTCTGTTACCATTGAGAAGAATACAATGTATGCTTCTCCATGGTAACGCAGAGAAATCAATGTACATTGAAAGCAATTTATCTTTAAAATAGAAAATTAAAGCACATTCGTACAGTGACTTTTTAGCATAACAAAACTGAGGTTTATTGGAGAACTGGCATCAGATTCTTCAAAATTATAAAAGTTTTCCAACTCATACATACCTAAATATAATGATCTAAAAAAAAATCCAAAAAATATTTAATAAATGTAAAAATCTACATTGGGATGCAGGATAAATTATATAGCACAGCAAGGTAAGTGCCATTTAACCACTTCAAAACCAATAATATTTTAAGCCATCATCATCAAAGATCATATTGCAAATATTCAAAGACAGACACAAATGTATACCCCTCCCTGTCACAGGTGCCTCATTCCAGGATCCTATTTAGCCTTGTCCTGCAGAGAGTCTCAGGAGGAAGTAGTTCCCAAGTAAGTGGATTGATCTCATCAGGGCAAGCATTGGGCTGCTAGAGTAGGACCTGCCAAGAATGGGGTACATTGACGTTGTGCCAGGCTTATGCAATGTATGATCATATAACATAACTAAACCCCCGTTATTTTTTGCCTAGGTGAGGTGTTTTTTAAATAAAACTATTACAATCTGTGAGATTTTAAATCATTGTTTAGTTAATAAGGGAGTGCGCTGGTTTGTTTATTTTGTACAAATGTATATATGGAAGATTCA